AGATGATGCAGAATGTGTCGTCATGCGACAGAATGGCATTGAAGTGGAGCAAGACTTGCAGTGAGTTGCTGGAAACAAAGTGTAAAGCTGCAGCAGCATTTTCTTGGAGCTCCTAGTTGGAAATAAAGTTGCTGTAAACCTCACAGCTCCTAGTGTCATGTTGTTTTTTGTTCCTTCGATGATGAACCATTTTCTTACGCAGGTTTCGGGCTACATCTGACAGTCTTCTTCTCAGCCAACTGTCTCCTGTCTAGTGGAATTTTTTGCGCCTTGCTTGTTCTCAGGTGCAAACCTTGGGTGTCACAGTCTTCTGTCACAGTTTTCTGCGAAAACGAAAAAAATCGTCTACGGGAAACTGACAGCTCAGGGGACAGGGAACGGATACTTGACAGGTGACAGAGATTGAAATCACGAGGCTATATGACAGGTGACAGGTGACAGAAATCATGAGGCAGAACTAATATATAATATATAATATATAATATAAAATATATAATATATAATGTTCCTATAGGCTCAAGATATTTAATGTCTAAATGGTAGTAGTCAACCTGAGTAAAAAAAAATGATAACTGCACCTTGATGGCAAGGCTTGCAAGGGCATCTTGGCTAGGACTTTCCATACGGCTGATAACCTCTGATGGCATTAAATACTTGCACCACTTGAAATGAAGACCCAGGCATTTGCAAGGGCATCTCGGCTGGAACTTTCCATACGGCTGATAACTTCCTGATGGCCTTAAGTAGCACCGTAATAATAGGAGCTTTTGGCATGCCAGGGCCACAGTGAAAGCACCAAATGCAAATGAAATACCCAAATGCCCTGGCACTGGCTTCCTTGTGGATTGGGCCCAGCCTGGGTCTAGATGCGGGAGATTGCCACAAGAAGGCAACATGGTTCTTGCGGTCCATGCGGTCCCTTCGGCCCCCATGCCAGCAGCAAGAAAGAAATCACTGACTGCGGCAGAGAAGAAATTAGAAAGGCAGCTCCGTGAGCGATTCGGATTGAAGGTTGGCATCAAAAGAAGAGTGAAGGTTGACGCCTCAAGGCTAAAATCCCAGAAGAAGGTGAAGCTTCCCTGCTTACCTTTGCACAAAGCGTGCCTGCGTGGAACACGCTGGGCAGGCTGAGTGTTGAATTCGTTTTCATCTAATTCAGAGGCACTGTGAAGGTTCTTTCTGTCAGCGCCTGCTAAAAATTGAGGTGCTTCGAGGTGTTCTTTGAATTCTCTTTCACATTTGCCATGACCTGTTGTTGTTAGCTGAGGTTGCTAGCTTGCTCCACTGCTACGCCAAGGGCTTGTGCATTGCCTGTCGGGCAGATGTTGAAGTCGCTACCCGTCAAGCTTGGAAGCTGGATCGGTTCTTGTGGTTTCGATCTGCTCTGCGGAGTAGATCTTTTCAACTTCAGATTGGTCCTGCGGTCAATCGGCTCCTTGACTCCTCTTAAGCAAAGTTACGTTGTTTCATTGGGCTGCCGAGTGTTTATTATTAAGCCAAGCCTCGGCAGTTATTCTTTGATGCTAGTTCCACCTGAAAGGTCATATGCCATTTGCAGTGCACTCAAAGCATGTGCCAAATCGGAGGGCTCCAGGTGGACTGTAGTTGCAGGGGAGAGCAACTCCAAGAGGGGCAAGACTAGCTCAGTGAAGACATTGAGCTCAGTCGGTGATGTTCTATCTTTTATGCGGTGCATCAGAACATTGAAACAGACACGTGGAATCTCAGGTCGTTTCAACACATCGCAGCTCAAATGATTCCAGCCTGTAGCAAAAAGATGGAAAAAGATCTCTTCATCCGGCTTGGCTGTTTTCTCGATTTTGCGTCAAAAACAGCCCAGAATCACCCCAAGCCAATACACCTCCAGTTTTCAAAGACCAAGGGCGTAATGAAAGGGGATTTTCCCCTCCAAATACCAAAACTCAGGAATCGTACAATTGGGAAGCTTTCTCTCCTCTCAATCCACCTCCGGTTTTCGAAAACCAAGGGCGTATTGACCTTGGCATTGCCCTTCTCAATACGCCCTCGGTTTTTAAAAACCAGTGCCACGCCGCTTATAGCTTCAAATTTTTTGAGGATTTTGCATCTTCGCATGGCTTAGTGGATCTACGCATGATTTAAGTGCATCTTCGCATCAATGTCATATTTGTATAAATATGTATAATTATGTGTATATATATATATATATGTATGTATGTATATGTATATGTGTATATGTATACGTATATACGTATATGTATATGTATATATATAATATATATATATATATATGTAAAAATGCGCATACTATGTATAATATCTCTGTCGCACGTGTGAAGCATGCATCTTTCTGTATCTCTATGTATGAGTATGTGCATATGTGCATGCATATTCATAGAATGCATGTAAAACTACAAAAAACTTACAAGTATGTAAACGTGTGTGTTGACCTCCAACACCTGTGAGGCCATGCCTCCAACACCAGTGGAAGCCAAAAAAGCAGTGAGGCTGTGGATGGCCACTGTTCAGTGTGGCTTGCCAAAAGAGGAGTGGAACCGTACAAGCCGCCTTGCCTTCAATGTGTCACGGCATGAAATTTGTTGATTTGGCTTGAAGAGTTGATGTGATCAAGACAGACCTTCTCTGAGCGCATGGTTTTGTACAGCTTTGAATTCCCTTTTACCTGACAATGACGAGAATAGTGGTTCTCTCTCCTATTCCCTTGCTCCACATGTTATCTTCCAATTCTGCCAAGAGAGAATTTCTATGCCTTAATGTAGTCCCAGACATTTAGCATTTCCTTCATGCCAGGGTGGAATCAATGCTCATTGCAAGACAGGTATAGGGCTTTTGCGTGTCCGTGGCAGGGTTTTTGCGCGGTTTTTGCTGTGTCCGTGGCAGGGTCCTGCGGTCCTGCGGTCCTGCGGTCCACGAACGGCAAATTTTGATCATGTGGCTAACAGCTTCTTTTAGCAATTTGATCGCAAAAAAATCGCCAAAAAGGAGCTGTCCAAGTTGAGGCTATTTTGCAGCCAAAGGAAGCTTCAATGCACAGTTTTGTTAAATCCTGCGTGAAAGCTTGCTTTACATGTATTTTAGCCTCATCCCTTATTTGCATTTGCCGTTGCAGCAATTTCTACAGCCGTTGCCATTGTTAGGTCCTGGCGGTCCAGCGGTCCTGAGTAGCCATGGCAAAAGCTGTGCCCGCAGTTCGGCTTCGTGGCAAGCAGCCATGCCCTCAAAGAGTGAAGAAGAATGGCCAAAAGTCAAAGGGCAAGCAGACCAAGCCAAAACGAGACACGATTCGATGTCAAGCGTTGAAAGATGGCTTGTTGCCACCTGCTAGAAGGCCTTTTGCGCTCTTTGTCAAGGACAACGTGCGTGGGCAGAAAGGAGGTGGGAGAAGCGAATGGCGGCTTGAGATGAAGCGCTTGGGGGCCATGTGGCACAAGTTACCCATTGACCAGAAGAAGCGCTACTTTGACCAATCCAATGCCGAGTTTGCCAAGCAGCATTTTGTGATGAAGCAGATGGGCATGCCACTGCGAAAGTCAAGCTCGCGAACAACTCACACGCTGGCAAAGGACGTGCTTCCAGAACCTGAAGATCCTGTCATGATCGGAGGCTACAAGGTGGTGAATGCGGATCCTGGCCTTCCTGATTGCCATCCCCTAGGTGAAGGCGCTTATGGCAGCGTTTTCCTTTGCTTAGACAAGCTTCAACGAAGATGTGCTGTGAAGGTCTTCAAGAAGAAGAGCGCACTCGAGGATCTCAACCATGAGCTCGTCCTTTTGCAAGCAGTGCAAGAACAAAGCGACCAGAAACTCCGAGGATTTTACCCCTGCATTTTGGAAGCACAGCCCTGTTTCAAGCCTTTTCCATTTTTGGCTCTTGAATATTGTGGCTCCAGCTTGTTTTCTTTGCTTGGGGAAAAAGGAGCTTTTAGCGTAGATGACAGTCGCGCCATCGCTTTGCAGCTGAAAGCTGCAGTGCGTGGCTTGCACTCATTGCAGATTTTGCATTTGGATTTAAAAACAAGCAATGTGCTTTGGTGCGTTGTCCGGCGTGAGCTCAAGTTGGCAGACTTTGGGATGTCTGAATATATCCCAGGGTATGGTCCTTCAATTCGTTTTCCCATGTATGTAACAGCAAGTTACCGAGCCCCAGAATTGTGGCACGCTGCTCAAAGGGACCTTTCCAAGTGGTTGGGGCCTGCAGTCGATTTATGGTCGTTTGGTTGTGTTCTCTATGAGGTTGCAGTTGGAAAGATCCTTATGCGCCCACTGCGCAACAACCTTTGTGGTTGTGAGAACACCATCAAGGAGTGGTGCCAGCAGTGGCAATCCTTGCAGAAATCATTGCAGGGATCAATAAGACCAAGTCTTTCAAATGCACAGGTCAGCCGAAATTTTGACTATCGGCTGGTGAATCGTTTGCACTTGCTGGAACCAAGCTTCAGGCCAGCAATCAAGGCTATGCTCAACCCGGATCCTGCTCAGCGAGATTGGGCAGGCATTGATTGAGCTAAATCTGTAGGGTTTCTAGGGGCATAGAGACCTGCTGTGCGGATGATGGGGTAACTCATCCTGGCGGTTCAGCGGTCCAGATTGCGAAACAGCGACTTCCATCAGCTTTCTGGAGAAACAAATGTGCTCAGGGAGTGCAAGTCATGAGCGCATCGATCTGGTATCCATGTCATTGTGTAGGAAGTTGAAACCAGCACCATTTTGCACTTCATATTTGCCACTTCCTGGCGGCTGAGGTCTTGGTGCAAACGGATGGCGCATGTGCAAGACAGAAAAAATGGCAGCGGCTTGAAATATACCCAAATCCCTTAATATTTTTCGGCACCGTTGAATTGCCATCCCAGATGAATTATCCTTAATCATCATATCATCTACTATAAAACTATTATCGTAGATGCTATGATAATTATTATGGGTGATTTTTAATACTATTATCATCAACAATATATCACAATCATCTACTTTAAATATCTTTAAATGCCTTTGTCGCCTCAGGTGCGTCAGAAGCACGGCTTAATGGATCTCTCGGAGCAGACCTCCAGCAATGTCTCCGGCACCGACCTGGAGGCGCTGATCAAAGAATGCCAACATTTCCATGGATCCAAACTGGATGTTTTGTTTTTTTTGTTGATCTTGGATTGTTGCTGATAAGGAAATTGATAAGGAAATTGATAAGATATTTTGTTGCTGTTGTTGAGATATATTTTGATAAGGACAACTCAGGAATTGTTTTTGTTGTTCAACCATTTTTTGCTAAAACCACAACTTGCTCAGTTTTTAGGTTCTAGGTCTTTCCCAATGACTTGAGCCATGCCAAGGGCAGTTGGAACATGTTGGAACCCAAGGAAAAGTGGAGTGGCTTACATATTATATAAATATATAGCACATATATATAATATATATATAATTATATATAGTTACATAATGTGTATACATATATATATATATAGGCCGGTAGACATTATGAATTATAGAATTCGTCCCTTCTTCATAGCTTCAGCCATGCATAAATAGAGAACACTTTCTTTTATCTGGAAAATATATGAACATATGACCTCTCCTTCAAATCAAACTTGTTACAGTAAGGAAAATTCCCCCCCTTCCCTTCCCTTGAAATTCCCCCCATCCCTACCCTTCCCACCCCCTACACCGTGCCAGGATGCAGCCGCCTGGGCGGCTTCGCTGCAGCAGGCGCAGCTGGCGGCCGAGACCGGGGACTTCGACGAGATCCGCCGGCGGCTGCGCTCCGCGGGGCGGCTGAACCGCACGGAGTGTGAGGCGCTGAATCCCTTGGCGCCGCCCTTTAAGGTACGGATGGGATCCAATGGAGGTTGACATGGTGCGGACATTGCTGAACTATAGTATCAACCAATGAATAAATATGTAGAACAAAAAACATTAATATACATATAAGATCATATAAGCCTATAGATATATGTGTAAGATATACTAAGATGCAATGAAAGATATGTTGTTAGCATTAATGGGCTCATGATTGACCTATGCTGTGTAAAGAAGTACCCTGTTGCCAGGCTGTATGGGTCGAGCGTTCTGTCACGCCCACGTCGTGTTCCAAGTTCCTTGGATGTGGCGGAAGCGCCACGTGTCGTTGGAGGGGGGTCAGCCCCGGAATCAATCGGGATAGTCGGATAAATGGTGTAAAGACCCTTCGAATCTAAGATGATACCCATAAACATATGAATAGAGAAAACAACCCACAAACACACGGACTATATATATATAGATATGTGTGTGTGTTCATAGCAATCTCCAATAGTGTTTTTTAGGCTTTACAAGAAATCCTGCATTTTTCACGGCTCAGATTTGAGGTGGAAAGCCTGTTGCTTGCTACGGCGCGGTGATCGATGCGAACTCTTCACCAGCTGCTGATCTGCAGGGACGGGCTGTGGGATTTGGCCCCAACCGCCATGTGTTTCTGTCCAGTTACATAGAACCCCAACACAAGGCGCTCAAAACTTGAACGCCTGGAAAATCGCCTTTCACAAATCATGGTCACCTAAACCCCTATGTGGAGAAATGGGATAACACACCCATATAGACACAAGTAGATGATTTTCCCATGAACATCTTCATTCATATCAGTTAATCATCATATTTATATCGGATATTCCATTACGGCACATCTTATTTTTTGGTGGATTTTTTCCACGGCTTCCATGGGAAAAAAACCCAACCGGAGCTACCTCTGAGCCCAGGCAATGTGGTGAACACCGAACTGCCCGGCGAAGCCGCACGAGCAGAGGCGGAATGCGCTGCCTGTGGGGGCGAGTGGCTGGAGGCGCAGCTGCGGATGTGGAGAGATAAAGGGGTTATTCTGTTTGGCTTACCCTCTGGTAAACTAACATAACTATGGAAAATCACCATTTTTCATGGGAAATTTCCCATGAAACATGGTGATGTTCCATAGTTTTTTGTATGTTTACCAGGTTGGGTATGACATAATGTGGAAAGATTGCGGCTATGCTGGGGGAGATTCTATTCATACAGGGGGGTTCCGGGCCGTGGGGGATCGCCAAAACCGAGCCATGGTGTCAACATACGTAGGATTGGTCGAGTCTAATGACTTGGATGATTTCGGGTACCCCTATGTTAGGAAACCTATGGGAAACCTCCATAAATGATATTCTGGTTCTGTAACATAGCTATGGAAGCCATAGCCATGGTCCATTTGTAGATGATTTATGATGATTTATCATGATTTATCTATAAAAGATTGTGTTTTTCCAGTTCGGTGCGTTAAAAAAAACAGATGGTATATAACCAACAAATCATACGGGCATTTAATCATAAGAAAACCAATCAAGTGTTGTCTGAAAATTGTGGGAAAAACAATTCCATCTATGGATTAACTCTGAAACTCTGAGGCTTCTTTTGATCTTTTTTCTAAACGATTCCTCTTTCGAGGATTTTCGAGGTGAGCCAACACGGAACAAATCAAGCTGGAATATGCTAGAATAGGCTAGAATCGAGGCTGGAGTCTGCAGGGTATGGTAAACAGCAAGACTTTGAGGACTCTGAAAGGCATGATTATTGGATATGATGAGAACTGCAATAGTATTTTAGTTTTTTTATCATTTTTTTCTCACACACCAATTGTATGCGCGCAATGAGATGCATCTATCCCACCTTGTTTCAGTGTTCTTTCTGTTAACATATCCAACTGAACATATCCAAGCTTAAATTGTAGCTACAATGGAGGTGTTTATTGGTGTTTGTTCGATCTCTTTATTTACCAATTTACCGTAAATTTACCATGGTTTTTAACCCCCTGACCCGCACATCCAGGTGTTCCAATGGACCTCCGGTGTTTGGAAGCGTGGCGACCTTCAAAGTCCTCGCCGGGGATGGCACCTCTGGCATTGGACTGGACACCGTTGGTTCTTAAAGCATTGGACATGATTGAAAAAATACAGAGATACCCTCTGGTAAACTAACATAACTATGGAAATTCACATTTGTTTCATGGGAAAACTCACTATAAATGGGCAATTTTCAATAGTTATGTTAAATTACCAGAGGGTATATATAATAATAACAACACTGATAATAATAAGATTATTGTATAATAATGACTTACAATAATGATGATAACAATAATGGTGATATGAATCATAAAATTGATATGAATAATAAACTTAATAAGAGTATATCATATTTCCTTTGTGGGTTAGTGAGGGTCAACAAATATATTTACTAATAACTGGTTTGTGGTTTGGAACAGTTTTTTCCATTCAGTTGGGAATGTCATCATCCCAACTGACGAACTTATATTTTTTCAGAGGGGTAGGTATACCACCAACCAGTCTTTCATTTCATAAACATCAGATTTCAACCAATTAACCATTATCAACCACTATAAACCACTTATCAACCACCAAGATTTCTCATAACTGTAAACCATCACCCACCCCTAAAAATGTATTTTGGGGGGGGGAGAGGTTGGGGAAAAAAAATACATTTACCGTTCTCCAAGAATTTGATTCCCCAGGACCCCCCCTAAATACATTATTTGACCGGTGGGTGTACGTTAAATGTAGGATCCATGGGTCGGGATATCCAACCCCCCCCAGGATCTTTTATTTTGGGGGGGTGGTTTAATACATTTTACGGGTTTGGTTTTTCCAGGATCCCCGGGAATGCTTATTTTTTTTCTGGGAATACCCTTCTTTGAAAAATGTATTTTAAGGGGGTTGGGTAGCCGAAAAGCACATCATTTTTGGAAAATGGAGGGAATAGATCTGGCTAAGGTAGTCATTGGTACCCCCTGCAATGCATACATTTCAGAATATTTAAGATCAAGTATATTTCAGCATCCCCCTTGGAATTTCCTCTACAGAATCGGGAACGTTACTTCCTGGAAAATGGTGCGTTTTAACCCCCTGACTTAATAAGGGGTACCTACCCAGTGTCAACGCTTAGTGTCAACGGTTTCAATTTTATAGAGGACCTTGGGGCCTCTAATTCTATAGAGATTTCATGTTGAATACAGCACTGAGGACTAGTCAGCAGAGAGTCTTAGGGACTGCGATTCTACAGTGGGATACGTTCTCTTTGGATGTATGTCATGTTCTTCAATTTTATAGAGAAGCATTGGCTGAACCAATTTCCCACAACAATTCTTTCATCATCCTTCATCATCCTTGTATATTTTGGAATCATTTGGAATCTTGACATATTTTTGGATACTTTTGGATACTTTTGGATATTTTTGGGATATATTGGAGATTTGTTGGAGATCTATCATCAGGGTTTCATCAGTTATCATCAGTTATCATCAGTTATATTCAGCAAATATGTACAATTTTGACATTTCAATATCTTACAAAAGCAGCTTTTTCTTGTTTACAAACTATAAAAGTGACATTTTTTCTTTTGCATCATTTTCCCGTTGTTGTTTCTCCCCTTTCTTTCTCCCTGTTGTGTCTCCCCAGTGTGTCTCACCGTTTTTGGGTCGAAGTCCTCGGGCCAGCCTTTCCGCCTTTCTCAAAAAGAGCAAACGGATGGAAACAGATCTTGAAACAAAAAATGAAATAAATGAGTCATGAAACAGAGCGACTTTCAAGATCTTTGAAATTGAAGGGGTTGACAGTGAACACTTGGAGCCTTTGAACTCTATAAATTTGGGAGTGCATAAGGCAAACTAGGCAAGAGTAACTGGAGCATTCAGGTCAGCTGTCAATGAAGGAGACTTGGGGAACCTGATTTTATAGAAGGCCAACTAACCCCCCCAACCATCTACGAGAGTGACTTGGCGGCATCGATTCTATAGAGATTGTCAACTTGAAAATACTTTGGGGTCTCTGATTCTATAGATGCATTTTCAGAAAGAGGGTCAGGGCCTCCCGGATTATCATTATAAAATTGTCAACACCAACACTCTCACTTAATTCAAAGGGGGATATTTCAGCCATTTTATGGCCCATGGGTTTCAGTAGGTTTCCCAGGAAAAAAAGATCAATTGGATTGAGGTGCAGACCCCCCCATGCTTGCATACATTTAGAAAAGTTTATGTATCCATTGGCTCTTGTCAGTGGTGCCCCCCACAAAGCATACATTTTCAGGTTCAATACCCCTACCAATAATACATTTCCAGCATCTGGCACTCATACATGCCTCATTTTGAGGGGTTACCCCCCCCTAGTTCCCATACATTTTTGGCAAAAAGTGAGGGGGTTAACCCCCCCCTTATGTTCATACATTATCAGAAATGTAGGATCCACCCCCCCTACTCCTGAACCAGTTGGGGTCGGGGATTGTAAACCACTAAGATTTTATGTTATTAGGTATAAAATTACTATAAGTATTCTAATATTTTCACTATATTAATTACTACAGTAGATAGCAAAAACATGATAAACACCATATTAATATCAACTATAGTATTACTTGCAGTGGATCATAGCACTATATTATCACTATAGTATTAATATTATTTTCATAAACATCAGATTTCCAGCCCAAGTTTCCTGGAAAAACGGTAACGTCCCTAGGTACAGCCGCGCCTGGGGTTCTGTGAACCGCTGGGCCGAAGTGGTGGACATCGACCTCCTACGCCGGCTCTTCGAGAACGCGCTGGTGCGCCGGGTGGGGTGATGGGGATGGGATATGGTGCATATATGGTTAATATTAATGGATAATATATGGTTAATATATCGATATTAATGGATAATATATGGTTAATATAATATATGATCCATTTATGTTGATATTATATGGATAATATATGGTTAATATATGTGTTAGTATGTGTTAATATATGCTTAGTATATATGGATAATATATGGTTGATATATGGCTAATAATTATATCGTTAATATTTGGATAACATATGGATGTGGTTGATATATCTGGTCAAAATCTAGGAATGACATCAGGTGGGGATGGGTCCAAAGCCTATTCTTACTGTACCATATTTGGGGGAATAAGCATCCATTAACCGGCTTTTCCCTAGGGGACCTAGGGTGCCAGGGTTTTGACTCACTTGGGGGCTCCATCATTACAGATCGACAGCCATAGATGTTTCCTCATGATTCATCGATTCATTTACATTCATTTACTAGAATAAATGATATTGACCTCAGGACGTCATAGAAGGAATCACCCCCAGATCACCTTTCTCTACAGCTCATGAAGACAATCTCTGGATAATATTCAGATTCCAAGAGAGAGGTGTGTACTATGCAAATGCTCTGTAAGAACGAATATAGTTTGGTCAACACATATCATCACATGACTGGTTTATAATGGTTTATAACATATTAAATTATAACACCTTAACAATATCTTGTCGCACATTGACTCATTGAAAGTCATCCCAGCGCCCTAGCAGCGCTGTAGGAAAGTCGCTTGGGACAGCAGCGCTTGAATGCTGCAGTTGCCATGGTGGAACCCCTCATGGCATCGTTGGAGATGCTGCCCTGCCTGGAAAATATAACGGGGCTCCCGACATGTTGTTGTTGTTGGGGGGGTTGTTCAAGTTGGGAAGATTGTTATAGATTGTTCAAATATAGTATAGTATAGTAAAGTATAGTTAACCAAGCCATCAATATTAGTTATAGATAGTTATAGTTAATCGCCAATTATGGATTACCATCTGGTGATGACTAACAGTTCGCCATGGAAAATCACCATGCTATTAATAGGTAAACCATCTATTTCTATGGGCCATTTCCCATGGCTATGTTAAATAACCAGAGGGTATACTATGTATTCCTGGCACATATGTGGAAAAAGGTTAGTTGATTATTAATTAAGTAGGTGTTTTCCGAATGTCTTTCCGCACAAATTGAGAGGATGACTTCAGTTGCGCCCTTTGATGCAGAATATTGGGGGAAACTAGTACGCACTACTGTGCAGACCCCTTCTTTCTTGCAGTGGCTTTTGAAAACAAAATCCCTTTGGTAATCAAACGTGGCAATGGAAAATCATAAAGACTTTATTTTTAGGCGATTTTCCAGTGGTTTGGCCGCCTGGCCGCTTGGCCCCTTTGACCACCATGGTGATTATGGCACTATACCTGGTGAATTTCATAAGCCCCAAATGGTGAGTTTATGGCTTTGTTTTTTCGGGTTCCTATACGTTCCTATCTATCATCTATAGTTCCCCAAAGAAAAGATAGAAAAGGTCCAAGGTTCGATTCTGGACTATTTTAGGGTCGCTACATATTATATATATTTATATATACCCTCCGGTAAACTAACATAGCTATTGTAAATGGCCATTTATAGTGGAATTTCCCATTAAAAATGGTGATTTTCCATAGTTTTTTGTATGTTTACCAGAGGGGATATCCCATTAAATCCAATTAAATCCCATTAAACTACCATTTTCCTATGATTTTCCTATGGTTTGCCAACTGCACCTACATATTATATAACAAATCTTTAATGAAAGGTTGGCCAACCGTTCCACCGTGCCACGTCCTAGCAAGGTTCGCCGCCGCCTGTGGCAGCGAAAGTGCGATCTTGGACGCTTCGGTGCAGCGCCAGGAGCAGCTGCAGGGGATGCCAGCGGCGCCGCCGTTGATGTGCCGCGGCAACGTGGGGGCTGAGGGTACCAGGGGTTGGGGGTTGGGGGGGATGGGGGTTGGGGTTGGGGGGTTGGGGATGGGGGTTGGGGATGGGGGTTGGGATGGGGAATTCACTCTGTTTTTTTTTTCAGAAACTGGAAGCAACAGAACACCGCACATCCGTTTGGGACTGGCATGATCCAGTCCCAGCTGTGTTTTTTCAGCTCCACAAAATCTCATCCACAAAGTGTCGGAGGGAAAGCTTACAAGAATCCATCAAGAACCATCTTTTTTTTAAGGAAAACTCTGCGTTTTCGGCAGAACAACAACCGTTGTGTTTTCCCGAGAAAGTCCACAGATCCATCGTTTGAAAATCTAAGGCAATTGCCCTCAGGCTTGATCCCCATGGGTGAGATCCTGGCCACTTCTGGCCTCATTAGTTCTGGCTCTGTTGGGGACATCCGGCTCTCCTGGCATGAGCCTTGCAGTTGCTTTAGATGTGTTTAGTGATGTTTGGTGGTGCTTTGAAACTGTGAGCATTTTAGCAAAAACTTCAATTCCACATGTGAAGTGAAGGTTGGCCACGATATTTTTTTTGGATGGATTGAAACCGGCCAATCCAGCTTGGATCTCCCAGGAATTCTCGGCCTCCAGATTCGGGGACAGCACCATGGCTGCGGTGAGATATGACATCAGCGTCCTTCCCTTTGAGTGCCTTGTCAGATCAGTTCAGAGAGGTCAGAGAGCTTCTGACGTCATCAGAGGTCCTGGAAATGAGGCTCTAGAGTCTGCAGCCTATTGATATCAATATATATCAATTGATGATCATTTAAACATATTTAAACATTTTAAAGGTCTGGTTTTTCCTATGTTTTCCAAGATTGTTCCAGCTTGAGAAATTCACATCTCTTCACTTATTTTTTTTCGCTGCCAAGGTACGTCTTGGGGATCGCAGCCCCGCAGATTGCCCTGCCGGGCCGCGCTGCGTTGGTCCGCAGCTTTCTGTTGGCACCTTGGCCCCAGAAACTGTGGAAAAGACCATGGAATGGGAAGATCATACCGGTGCTTCATGTTGGTTCTTTGCTTGTCCCCATTGCCCATTGTTGTTTATCACGTTTGCTTCTATGTTGGTCAGATCACCGAATCTTATTTCGAAAATTCCAGATTCTTCTGGAAAGACCACAGCCGCTAGTGCAGCTTTTGAGGATGGTGAATTGCTGTTGGTTCCGTGCGAGTCATTCGCTGATGTTGGTGATATCACCATTTTGAGTGGGATAAGAATCCAGATTTCAGTGGCACCAGCAGTGGGTGGTTGAACTCATTCAACCCATCAAAGTCAAATTTCAAGCCGGCAAAGGCAGATTTCACCCCCAAGTTGGCATGAGTTACCATGCATCACAGGCTTTTCATATGTAGTCATTAGATGTTATGTTTTAAAAAAAATGGAAGAAACATGGAAGAAATGGTTCAACCTCCCAGCCATTTCCAGCAGGAGTTCATGGTCTTCTCGGACACCACGACCTCGCTCTCGCCCGCCAGCATGGAGACCGTAGATGCCGGTGGCTTGCGGGGCGGATATCCCGCCTGGATCATCAATGAGATGATCAAGTTGGACATCGATCCGGAGGCCAAAATCGGCCATCAATGTGGTTACCATCTGGTTATTTAACCTAACAGCTCGCCATGGAAAATCACCATGCTATTAATAGGTAAACCCAGGTAAACCATCTATTTCGATTAGGGCCATTGTCCATGGCTATGTTAAATAATTAACCAGAGGGTAAAACAATCATAAACCATCCATTTGGGAATGGTTTATACAACTATGGTGAATTTGGGGATGGTTTATGATTGGTTTACCACCATTTGGGATTTGTCATTCGGATTTAATATGATTTACACCGGGCTAATGGAATTTATATAGTAGTGGAATGGTGCTTGAAACAGTGAACAATATGAGATATAAGGGATTGTTCAATGGGATTTTGGGGGATTTAAGTAGCGGGTGGGTTTTTGTTGAGTTTCTTGAGGTCGTTTTTGTTCGGTCTCCTTGATATCTCTTGAATTGATTTGGATTGTCCAAAGAACAATATGTTTGTTTGACAAAAATTGAAAAACATTCCAACCGTTATTATTCAAATGATCCTGTTGCCCATACCCACTTTAATGATTGTTTTAATGTAATTATGTCAATGTCCTTTCAGATTGTGCTTCATTGCTTATCCATCCTGCATCCCTATTCGAGAGTTTGGAGTGGTTAAATTGATATGAATTAACCATAAATACTGGTGTGTGGTTTGGAACATTTTTTCCATGTATTGGGAATGTCATCATCCCAACTGACGAAGTCATCTTTTTCAGAGGGGTAGGTATACCACCAACCAGTTTTTCCCAGTCATCGTCCATATTTTAATGGTATTTCAGTATTTTCCACTATAAACCATCCATATCATCCATTTATAGATGGGGGTAGGTCAACCACCAACCAGTATATATATATATACTCGTACCAAAATGTCAAGTCGTATTCCCTCATCCCCAGCTATTTCATCAACATCATGTGGAAGGGACCATCTAGAATCATGTGATGATATCATATATGATGATGTATGATAAATCAATCTAAATGATGTTTTTTTTGTTGAGATTATGTTCATCAATTGATATCATCAATCGATACCAATATATCAATATTGTCAATATTGACAATATTGAAAATATTGTCAATATTGTCAATATCATTATATATCAATATATCATTTGCCATGTACATAGACATCAATTTCTCATCAAAGAATCCCATCTCTCATCAATGAACCAAAAGTCTAGATATAACAACTATGAAATATGAAGTCTATAAACCAGATATCATCCATATATCAGCCATATATCAACTATTCATTATTCACAATTAAAAATCAACCATAAGTCTAGACAAGCATACTATTTGCCAACTATTCACCATATATTAACCATATTATTAACCATATATTAACCATATATTAACCATATATTATCCAAAAAATCACCATATATTAACACATACTAACACATATATTAACCATATATTATCCATATAATATCCACATATTACATATCCAAAAATTCACCATATCCCATCCCCATCCCCCAGGCTCCCCCAGGCTCCCCCAGGCTCCCCCAGGCTCCCCGGGGCCAGGCCGAAGCCGCCGAAGCCCAAGACCTGGCGGCGCGCCTGGCAGCCACCGAGGAGACGCGGCGCCAGGAGCGGCTGCGCGCCGCCGCGGAGCTGGCGGAGGCGGCGGACACCTCCACAGGCGGCGAAACGTCATCTCGGTGGGGGATTTCGTACCCTTTGGTAATTTAACATAGCTGTTGAAAATGGCCATTTATAGTGGATTTTCCCATAAAAAATTGTTATTTTGGGGGTATGGTGAATGATGGCTCATATTGGCTACCCTCTGGTAAACATAGAAAAAACTATGGAAAAATCCACCATTGTTTAGTGGGAAAACTCACTATTTCGACTGTGCCATTTTCAATAGTTTTTTGTATGTTTACCAGAGGGTACTGGAAATCGGTGGGGAAAAATCTGGGGAAAATCTCGGAGGTTGACCAGAACTTGGAAGGTGGAAATGGATGGAAATGGTGCGCAAGCCCAACTGTTGGGGTTTTCGTGGTCTTCCAAGGCAGTGCTGGTAGTTTGGAAACATATCCTTTGGTGGTTGAACATTGCCATCTTGTGAACATTTGTTGGTTTTGGTCTCCTGTTTCCTGAGCATGTTCATGTGTTGGGTCATGTTGGGTCATTTCTCCTACTGTAATTCTGGATGGTTTTTGTCGGGGACTCTTGTGGAATGGAATTGTTGTTGCCCATTCACTATTTCGAATGCGGTCACCCAAGCACACATTGGGAATGGCCCAAAATTATGTACCCCAAAAGTTGGATGATTGAAAAATAAGACTCAAAACATCCAAAATTCTGTGTCCCCCCATTTCTGAACGTGCAGGCCTTCCACCTTCCTCACTCTATGCTCCTTGGATGTCGAATTCAGGTCTTGAAAAAATTGCTGAGAGCCATGCCGGTGGCTAAAAGTACGGTATCTAAGAGTTCAGCAAGGCATGGTTACAGTATTACAAGCTCACACTATTGCTAATCCTCCAAGAAAGGGCTATGCCATGGAGATCCAGCCTCATTTAGGACGAAATCATACAAGGAATCCAAGCATGATGGCGATTTCCAAAGCAATTTAAACTATAGTCATCCAATCGATCCAATCCCACTGCAAGGGTTGCCACATCAGCCTTTGGAAATGCCCGGCCTCTCGCAAAAAAGGTCCTGACCCAGGAGTATTTGGCGCCTTGACGATACGTGGACGGTCCTGATGGTGCCCAGAAATGTTTGAGGTAAGATCTCGCAAGATTTAGCGGCTAAGCAGCCTCACATATTTGGAGATATTTAAGGTGGATTTGCGTTAACAATAAACCTAACTACCAGTCGGGGGTGATTTTTTATCATTCATTATCCATTGTAAAAAGTCATTGGGGATGGTTTATTAAAGCATTGAGTTTCTGGCATTGGGTTTACCATGGGCAAAATGTAGGGCGGCCCGCTGCAAGTTTTGCCGGCTCTTGAGAGGTCCAGTGTGTCTTTGTGACGCACCACTGCTGAATTTCGATGAGTTAATTTTGTTCTACCTTTCCAAACTCCTAGGAGCAAGTTCAAAATAATAGTTCCACCAATTATATAGATATTGATATGTTCGATTCAAAAAATCCAAGTCAAATTACATGTATATAGATATGTTCAATCCAAAAAATCCAAGTCAAATTACATGACTAATTATATAGATATTTTCGATCCAAAAAATCCAAGTCAAATTACATGCATTATCCATGTTGTTTCATCTTGTGCAACAACCAACTACCCTGCATCCCTGGATTCTTGGTCAAAATACCCAGGAGAACACCACGGTGACCACGTCCCCTGGAGCGCAGGGGCTACATTTCGCCACCCCCGCCTGTCGCTCAGTGGTGGCCAATGCGCAGGGCGAGGTGGGGATTGGTGGAGTAAGTGTTGATAATTTTGGGCATCCAAGAACATCCAATAACCAAAACGATTCCCATGTTTTTAGGAATGAAGTTGGAGAATCATCGAAAGATAGAAGCTTCTGGGATCATGTGGACAAGACAGGTCCAAGGACGTCGTGGGTCTATGTGTTTTTTTTTTAAGCGAAAGAGTTCCCCAGTGACCTAGTCTCGAGCCTTGAACCCAAGATAACTCAGGTTGCCTAACAAGGTTCCTTATATTTTAGCTGGTTGGTGGTTTCAAACATTTTTATTTTCCATTTCATATAAGGGATGTCATCCGAAACCCATTGACTAAGATGTTTTTCAAGATAGTTAAAACATGTTATTGCACCATATTGCACCACCAAGCAGTTCACCATTTTTAAACATCTACACTATGGGCCAATGGGATCTGGTTCTCCATGGTTCTCCATGGTTCTCCATGATCCCCCCTTGGGTGACCAACCCATCGGACGCGTCGAACGGCGTTTCGGCAGGTCTTTGGTCGGCTCCTCGGGGATTGCGTCCACGTCAGCAGCTCCACCACCATCGAGAACTCCGTGGAGCTCTGCTTGCCGTTGACCTACGGCACCCCTGTGGCTGGGCGAAAAGGTCACGTACACGGAGAGTTAAAACGCCAGTTTGTTAACTTTTCTGGGTGTGAACATAGATGATCATAGATGAACATCGGATATCTATCCATGGATATCCGATCTCCGACAGGGTTTTTGGAAGGTGTTTATGATGGTTTCTGCGAATTGGGGACTTGTTTGAGCTCCTCCACCCTGGTGGTGGCTCCCACCGGTGGCACGGTGGAAGGCCGACATCAACGCCTTCAACAGCACGCCCCAAGCCGCGGCCGCCGGCATGCGCTTCGACTTCGCCCTGGCCGCCACGGTGCCGCAGAGCTATGAGGTGGACACCCCAGCAGTGCCTGGGCAGGGGTTTCCATGGGTGATTTTCCCTGTAACTGGCCTCAATAATTTGAAAATTATGACATGGTCATGCACTGTATTATATGAATGATATTGAATGATTATATAATATTGATAGTTCATGAATTTGGAACACATATAGGATAACGGGATAGTATCATAATGGGTTTGGGAGAGAAATTCCCTACTGACCATCATACGCATGGATTCTCGAATGGACTATCAATTGGGATTCAATGGAATAAGGGAGGTTTATAGCAGGGTAAATTAAGCAACACAATGGGAGATTTCCCCCTTGCCACAATTGATTAGAAAGGTTCTATGGTGATTTTCTATGATTTTCTACGGTTATTCTTTAGGCACCCACTATTTAAAGGATTACTTTTCCCCAAAAATGTGGGTTACCGGGGTTACACTCAACCATACTAACCCAGTTACAGCAATAATTGGAAAAACCAGGTGGTTTCAAGCTCTCGACTTTGGGTTTCACCGACATTTGAAAGCAAGCTGGTGGACTTACATAATTTAGAGACAAAGTTGCATGATGAAAGCTGAGGTTTGGCCAACAAGAACGGGAACATGATGGCTTATGGGATGTTATGGCTTTGATGAGTTTGATCTTTTCTTTGGGGGCTTATATATAGCATTATATAGCATCTTATAGCATCAAAAATAGCATACAGCGCATGGTTTTTTCCAGGTTTTCCAGGTCTACCAGGTGGTAACCAGGTCTGCCCCATGGATCCCATGGAGGCTGCCATGATGCCTCCCAGGCCCTCCAAGCCGGTGCGGAAGTGCCGGGACGGCTGGGTCCGGTAATGTGGAACTGGGAGGATAACGCCCAGTGGGGACGACTGCCACCTGGCTGGTACTACTTGAAGCTTGGCAGATGGAGAGTCGGGTCCCACGAACCATAGGAAAATGGAGGTTTTAATGGGAAAACCATAGGAAAACCATAGGAAAATGAGGATTTACCCTCTGGTAAACTAACATAGCTATTGAAAATCACCATTTTTAATGGGAAAATCCACTATAAAATTGCCATTTTCAATAGCTATGTTAAATTACCAGAGGGTAGGGGGAGCTGGTGCTTTGGGAAAACACTTGTTTGTTTCTATATTTGGATTAAAATTGGGCACACATATAATACATAATTATATCATATATCCATGTCTATAGTTTATATTATATATATCGATATTTGTATATATATATATATATAATATGTATGTATACTTAATACTTATGATAATGATATGTAGGGGATGTCTACAGCTGTTTTTCGGACCCTGCATAGCTCGGATGCAGTAAAAAATGTGGGTGGATGGTTGCAAATTTTCGGACGAGAGCGGTCGAAAATTGAAAAATAACCGCTGAACAAATTGAAAAATTGAAAATTCACATAACAATGTGGTCTTTTTGAGGAGTTCCATCCGGAATTTGAAAGTGCAAAGCAGTTTTCGGCCATGCAGAACTGGCGATTTGAAAAGACTCATTACCTCCAAGGCCTCCAAGGTCATTTTGAGAAATAGGCAGCAATTGAAATTTTGTGTTTCTCAAAATTGGGGACCCAAAACCATTCATTTCCTCGGAAATGACCGTTGGATGATAACTTGAGGGCCCCCATGTTTAAGAACCCCCGGTCTGTCACCAGCCATTACTGGTCTGTCCATTACTGGATTATGTTCCTATCCCCAATGCTCCAACGTTTCTCACCAAGATTACCCAAATGTTGGTAAATATTCCCTACATGGAGCATATGATATATGATCATATAGGGGTTCCCATAAATGGGGGTACCCCTAAATCATCAATTTTAATAGGGTTTTCCCTTAACCATCATTTTGGGGTACCCCCATTTATGGAACCCCCCATATGGGTATTATCATGCATTATCATCCAAGGACCCCTGCGAGCCTTCCCGTGGACTTACGCAGAGACGGCGCTGGCGGAGCACGCCTGTGTTCCAAGATCTACAGGGCGGAGAGCCTTTGGTGGCAAAGATGGCAGCTTTATTGGGAGATACTGGGGGTATAACCAACATGTTTAAATCATGTTTTAATGGGAGCAGAATGATTTGTAACCGTAGATTGCCGTAGATGATTTTTCTGATCACATGTATTTCACTGCCATAGAGTGTGATATGTCAAACAAATTGATTACACGTCGGTGCTCAAATGATAAATGGACCTTTAGATGCGAAAATCATGTCAGTACAAATGGTTTCTGTAAATAGGGAATCTTCCATTGCCATGTTTGATTACCAGAGTGCTTGGCCAGTTGATGATAAACCGTTGATAGTTGAGTAGCTGCCATCTATGCTGCAGACGTAGCAGCCATGAAGAGGCATGTGGAGGCATGTTGAGGTACTTGCACATGGCATTTACCCTCTGGTAATTTAACACAGCTATTGAACATGGCCATTTATAGTGAGTTTTCCCATTAAAAATTGTGATTTTCCATAGTTATGTTAGTTTACCAGAAGGTAGACACATCGGAATACACCACGGTTGCAACGGATTTCCTTCACATTTGACTTAGTTCACATGGTGTTTTTGACGAGAGCTCCCCGCGAGGCAAACCTATTGTCCTATCTTGCGGCTGGGGACGCATCCAAGAAACTTGGCAAAATTCAGCGCTCAGCGTTGCCACGAGTTGCCAGATCGGGGCATGCCATCGGCAGCCTAAAATATAGGCTGCCAGCCTTTTTTTTGTCTTTGGGATTTCCAGACCAAACATGGGTGATTTCCCATCTTTAGTGGGACTACCATATTATGATCAAGCGTTTCCATGGGCGATTCTCATTCATGATCCTATTTGCACACACTTGGCGATCGGCATTAAGGTGTAGCACCTCGGGCGATCTTGGGTTAAGTGACCTGAATCCCAGGGGGGCCAACGGCCACCTCTAGGACCCTAGCCACGACCGGCCGCTGGACGGGGATGGGTGAACACTAAGGAAGTCTCATTTGGACCAATGCTTCCGGCATGCCGAAGGCCCTAGCTGTGAGTTATTTAGCTGGGTAGCTCATGGTAGCTCTACATGTACAGTTTACATATATATCTGGTTGGTGGTTTGGAACATTTTGTATTTTCCATAATATATGGGATAATCCTTCCCATTGACTAATATGTTTAAAGATTGTTAAAGCTACCGTCCAGATATCACTTCTGCGTGCCTCACGTTGCCACGTTCCAAGAAGCCAAAATGGCCCCAAGGAAAACCCCTGATACTTTACTTAGCATCGTCTTCCATCGTTCTCCTTAACTTTGCCATGATTCTGAACTTAGTTTTCTCAGATACACTTCATATAAGTAACATGCATTGTTACAAATTTCGAAGCCAAATAGCAACTAATTTAGCATATTAATGACACTTGCCAAGTTACACTCATAAAGCAACATTTGGTGAATTGATGTAAAGTACATTGATATCTTCACCAGATGGAACTCGCTCAGGATCCCCACCGGGATCCCCCCAGCGGGATCCCCACGGTCGTCGTAGGTCCTGGGCTTTGATTCGCACTGCGAAGAGATGGATCGGCTGCTGAGGGAAGTGCACAACCTGCAGAATCAGCAGCTCGGGAAAGATTGGGCGCCATGGGAAGGTGGGGGACCTTCTCGCCTCGCCAATAGGGTTTTAAGAGACACCAATGGGGTTGTTTTATGGTGTGCAACATGTTTTTGCCAAGGTATGAGTGTTAGAAATTAGAAACAACATTGACAGGTCCTGGATGTGGGATGATCACTCCTTCCCCTGGATGTGTTTGGTATTGATTCATGAACCATCCCAGTCAGCTGCAGAGATTTGAGAGTGTTTTACGCCAATGTCAAAGGAAGAGCCAAGATACCAGGAAAATCATTACTGGCTGGTGGTTATACTCACTATATACCATAATCCAATGGGACAAGAGACTGGAGGATGATGATTGGGACAAGAACTGGTGAACCGGCATACCCGAAGTATCAGTGTGTCGGGGATGAGTGGTTTGCTTTGGGCATGGCAAATTTGATAAGGTTATTGCCGAGCAGAACAGATGGCGATGCATAGAGAGAGAGAGAGAGAGAAAAAAAATATATATATATATAATTATATATATATATTATCAAAGGAAGTTTAGGGGGAGAAACTTCCGTGTTACGTTACGGACTTTTAGAATGTCAGGGAAAGAGTTAGTCAAAGAAAGAGTTAGCAAAGAAAGAGTTCGTCAGGGAAAGAGTTAGTCAAAGAAAGAGTTAGTCAAAGAAGAGTTACAAAGAAAGAGTTAGTGAGGGAAAGAGTTAGTCAAAGAAAGAGTTAGCAAAGAAACAGTTAGTCAGGGAAAGAGTTAGTCAAAGAAAGAGTTTAGTCAAAGAAACAGTTAGTCAGGGAAAGAGTTAGTCAGGGAAAGAGTTAAGAAAGAGTTAGTCAAAGAAAGAGTTAGTGAGGGAAAGAGTTAGTCAAAGAAAGAGTTAGTTAGTCAAAGAAACAGTTAGTCAGGGAAAGAGTTAGTCAAAGAAAGAGTTAGTGAGGGAAAGAGTTAGTCAAAGAAAGAGTTAGCAAAGAAACAGTTCGTCAGGGAAAGAGTTAGTCAAAGAAAGAGTTAGTGAGGGAAAGAGTTAGTCAAAGAAAGAGTTAGCAAAGAAAGAGTTAGTCAGGGAAAGAGTTAGTCAAAGAAAGAGTTAGTCAGGGAAAGAAGTCAAAGAAACAGTTAGTCAGGGAAAGAGTTAGTCAAAGAAAGAGTTAGTGTAGGATCGTTCCCACAATGCAAATGGCATTGCAAGTGTTGCTGGTGGAGGATTTGCCGATGGAGTTTTGAAGGAAGTCTCGCACGAAATGCGTTTTTGAGAGATAGCAGATGCACGAAACCCTGTGTTTTTCCAGACAAAGTGCGTCCCCGAACGTCGATGATCTACCTCTGCGGTGCGACGGGTGCGAGACGGTCTCGTGTGTGGTCGGATCATTCGGATCTCGGATCATGTCGGATCGGTTCCGCATTGTAAATGGGGTTTCACCTGTGTTTCGTGCATTTGCGGTCGACAGAATTCCATTGTGATTTGCAACTGTAGGATCGTTCCCGCAATGTAAATGGGATTGCAAGTGGTGCTGGTGGATGAGTTGCCGATGGAATTCCATTGTGATTTGCAACTCTAGGATCGTTCCCTCACTGCAAATGGGATTGCAAGTGGTGCTGGTGGAGGAGTTGCCGATGGAGTTTTGAAGGAAGTCTCGCACGAAATGCGTTTTTGAGAGAGAGCAGATGCACGAAACCCTATGTTTTTCCAGACAAAGTGCGTCCCCGAACGTCGATGATCTACCTCTGCGGTGCGACGGGTGCGAGACGGTCTCGTGTGTGGTCGGATCATGGGCGGATCATGCTCGGATCATGCTCGGATCATGTTCGGATCGGTTCCGCATTGTAAATGGGGTTTCACCTGTGTTTCGTGCGTTTGCGGTCGACAGCATTCCATTGTGATTTGTAACTGTAGGGTCGTTCCCGCAATGTAAATGGGATTGCAAGTGGTGCTGGACGATGAGTTGCCGATGGAATTAAGCCAGTGCCATTGCATTTGGGTCATTCATTTGCAAATGGGTTTTTCATGTTTGAGTCATAAAGAGGACAAATAAAGATAATGAAAAGTCATAAAAGTGTGATGTTGCATTTAATGTTTATCAAAAGTGGGTCTTAATTATTTCATGTGCTAAAGTAAGTGGCTTCAGCATAATAATTTCGTAGACACATCATGGTTCCAGGTGTGGACATGGGGAAATCATGGTTGGGGGTCTGGATACCGGCCCTCAGCATTCTTGGTTACATGTGACATATTAAGAGCATGGTCACTACCCATTAGAATATTGTATGAGACCACTCACCCCCTACTGTTACCATAATCATCCATAACAATAACCATAACCTTACAAAAGACACACACACACACTTTGCTACTGCCCTCCGTGCCAGGTTCAAACTTGTCCGTGCCAGGTTTTGCTTCTTGCAAAAGGGCCGGAACCTTGAGTTTCTCTTTAAGCTTGAGTTGTTCAATTGATAACTCGAATAATGATAGCATTTACCATCAATGACCAGTCCATTTCTAATACCAGTCAATTGATGGCAATCTTTCATGTCTAATACCAGTAAATTTATGAAGTAATGTGGTTCATGTCTAATTAGTCTGTATAAATAATCTTCATGAAATTATTAAGGGGGGGCAGGGCGGAATGCATGCCTCACAGGCTCACACTTCACTGGTCCTCGCTTTGTCCAGCCGTCAGTCATAGAGTCAGAGCAATCATTGTTAGTTAACATGTTATTTCATATCAAGTGATCCACAAAGATAACTGATATTATCATGAAATTATCTGCATTGAAATCCGAACTTCATTGGTTTGTTGCATGTCTCATTTTTCAGGGGTTCTTACAAATCATTACTATTTCCATCCTTATCAGGTTTTGCTTCAACTGCACTCCAGGGTTTGGCCACCGGCCCTGGAGTTACTAAGGTAGCTTTGAATTAAGGTAGCTTTGACTGCACTCCAGGGTCTGGCCACTGGCCCTGGAGTCGCTCAGGTAAGACAATCTGGGTCTGGACACCGGCCCAGGTATCACTAAGGTAGCTTCTGGCGTGTGGCCCTTACTTGTTTTCATCATAGTTCAACATGATGTCACTCCGGCACTGTAAGTTTAACCCTAATTTTCAGAACAATGCATGTTAATTTTCAACATGCTAAAATGGTTCTATTTCTAATTTTTTTAAATCTGGCAAGTTTGGCAAACACAGTCGTAGCAAAATATATCATTATTGCAACTAGACATGTTTATTTTTTCTTCCATGTCAGCCTTTTAGTTTGCACACTTGTCAGGTGACAGCAGAACAAGCAAAGCCATGCAGTTTACCATCATAAGTGATTCATAGACTCTAGTCTGATTTTTATCAATTCACAATGATGGATGACTCATAGTGGATTCATGGATGACTCATAGATGACTCATAGATGACTCACAGGTGTGTTGTAGATGATCCATAGATGATTTTAGTAATATGTTTATTATGTTGTTAGATAAATCCTGGCACTTTGTTAGTAACTGTATTGTTAAACTGCATGGCTTTGTAACGGTCTGGGTGTCCGACCGTGTTTGTTCTGCAGGCCCGGACTCCGGCCTGTCGTCACATGTCCTGGATTCCGGGACTACTAAGGGACCAAGGTAGACCCAGCGCCTGGCTTCCGGCGCTGGGTTCAGGGACTCCAACCCGTGCCTGGCTTCCGGCACCGGGTTTCAACAAGCTGGTCACTACATACCAGTGCCTGGATTCCGGCACTTGGTAGCCCTGAGCCTCCTTCATACCAGTGCCTGGTTTCCGGCACTTGGTAGCCTTCTTCAGTCCGTTGCCCAGAGTCATCACAATCACCACCACCATCATCACCATTATCCTCATCACCATCATCATCACCACCAACATCTTCATCATCCTCATCCTCATCGTCATCATCATCATCATCATCATCAACCTCATCATCATCATCATCATCATCAACATCATCCTTATCATCATCATCATCATCATCATCATCATCATCATCATCATCATCGCACATCATCACAACCGTGATCACCGTCATGTGTCTCATATTTAAATGCATGTTCACAGCCATGTTCATCCTAATGTAAATCAACTAAGTCTGTTTTGCACTGTCTTTTTTGGGGTGCCACATTGTTTCAATGACCATCCCCATGGTCAAGTTCACCATTGCCTTTGATGTGATTAAGAAATTTGTGACCGGCCCCACACTAAACATCATCGGTACCATCAGAATGCTCCAGTGTCAGCTTCCTTATCCATAACCATCACCAACATGCTCACTCAGCATCACTTTTAATACTTTGATCATCAACCATTGATCAAAATTGTTTGGTGTATTGGTTGGTGAATCTGTCAAACAAATTAGACAACATATCCGTGAGATTGACCTGGTTTGACCTGAACTACCTTTTGTTCTGTTTCTCCCAAAAAGTTTTATATAGGTTTTGAGAGTGCCAGTCAGACACATCTTGATTTGTGAATGGTAGATGTGGGCATCCACCATGTGAATATCATCAGTATGTGGCACACTGGCCATGGCCAAAAGTTTCAATAACCTTCATGAAGACCGCAATAGGTTGTAGGCATGTTAGTATGAGCAAACATTGTGACACATTTTGATTCTGGCCTCAATAGACCCCTGTCCATGCTAACCAGCACCCAAGTTGAATAGTAAGCATCACCTTCGAGGTCTGCAATGCTGAAGTGAAGGAAACTGTCCGGATGTCCCAGACTGGACGGACACCCAGGTTGCTGCATGGATGCGGAAATACTTTCAAATTCACATCGAATCTGTTGAGTTTGCATTGTTGAGTTTGCACATTATTTGCATTTACTGTTTTTGGACATCTGTCATATATATCAATAGCAGCCTCATCATCATATGTTCATCAGCAGTGACACTTAAACTTTCACTCAAGTGAAGACTGACTTGCACTCCGTCGCAAAATGAAAGCATGCAATACAAACATATGAATGACAGTTTTTCCATTGGAAAAAAAAGCCACAGGATCAAA